GTCCATTTATCGCTGGTCTTCACGAGCTTCTTGCCTTCCGGCTTCATCACCGGATTGACAGGGCTACAGTGTGCGCTTGAGTTGTTCACATAAATGACGTTGTCTTGTTCGAGCTGTTGGCCGAACGCTTCGACAAACATGCTTGTGAGCGGGTTCATTTTGCGCGGCTTGCAACGATGGGGGCGCGCATCGGACTTGAGACGGATTTCCATCGGGTCAACGTCTGCTGGCGGGTCCGTGCCACGAAACTTGCTTCGCCACACCCCGCTCGCCGCTGCATCTATCACCACCATCTTCAACTGGTCTCGCTGGACTGCATCGTCCGCGACCAAAGTTGAATTGGTCTTCATAGCCATCTCGAACAATTGCTCGGCAGCACTCATGTCTTCGGCATCGAGCTGTTTGTTCATATCGTGCAAGTTTCGCACACATATTTTGAACGCGACATCTTCGCCCTCATTGGGGTCGCCGATGTCGTCGCCGTCGCCTTCGCCTTGTCGGACTGCCACTTGTTCGAGCAGCTTGGTCATGTCCAGTCCAATGGATTGTAGCGAGTACTTGCTGACGATTAGTTCGTCGTTCGTGTCGACAACGTAGAACCGATGTTTCCCAGGCAACTTGACCTGACCGGCAGCCGTGTGCAACTTGACACTCAGATCGACGGTCTCTGTGGACGTAATCGAGGTCTGTCCGACGACTTGTCCGATCCACGGTTTGGGGAGCAGCTCAAGCCGGACTGTGTCGTCCAGGGCCTTGAGTGCTTCTACCATTGTCATCGGGATAATGCCGACGTCGCTTCCGCTGTCGGGGCAGTACGGGACGTCGAGCACGTCGTTGATTGTTGCCATAGTCTCTTCGCCCGTACTCCCTAACAGGCGTCGCATCTTCGTGGGAGGCTCGTTTTCGATGCGCTTCAAGTTTGCTTGGCGCTTGGCTTCTTCTTCTTTAACCCATTGCGCGGTAGCTTGGCACTTTTTTGCGTGTTTGGACGTCTTCAGGCATTGCTTGTGCCGTGTCAAAATTGGCTTCCATTCGTGGAAGATCTTGGCTCTTTCCTCGGATGTTGATCCTGGGCACTTGTCAAAACTGTGATCGACTTGGCCGCATCGAAGGCATCCTGCGGGCATGGTCTCCGGCGGGTAGCGTCGTTTGATCGTATGCTCCCAACCGTAAACTCGTCGAGCTGCCGTAGCGATCTCAGGAGTGCGGGAGTGCATGACTGCTCGACCGCGCTCCCGGACAAAGTATGGGCCTTCAACTTCGTCCTCGCTACTCCATGAGAGTGGCAGGAAATCCTCGGTTTCGATAAGCTCTCTGGCTTTTCGCTTCCGATTCTCCTTCTTTTCACGCTCTTCCCGATCGTATTGTCTCGCTTTCGCACGATTCGAGAGTGGGAACGTATAGCTTTGAGGTGTCTGTGCAGCCTCTTCGCTTTGAGCCTTTGTAGGCTCGCCATCTTCCTCAGCAGCAATGAACGGAAAGTACGTGGACGCCGAGCTTTGTTCATCACCTTTAGCTCTTTCGGCGCTGCTTTCGCGTGATCCCCAGGTAGGCTTCACTTTTTGATTCTTGAAGGCCATTCTTAGTTGCTTCCCTTTGTGTTCGGGCCAGGTAGAACTTGGTTCAGGGATATCTCGCCCTTTCTTCGAAAATTCCACGTTCTTCCTCATATTCCGATAGCTGTCTCCTTGTCGACCTTGGCGCTCCAGGCGACCAGCGTATCTTTCGCGTGAATAGGAGAAGTAGCGCTCGTGGCTTCGGTCGCGCTCCCTGCTATCACGCGGGTTGCTGCGTCGGTCACGCGATGAGTCACGACGGTCGTGGGATGGGCCGCGCCGGTCTCGAGATCTTCCTCGAATTCGGTCGTGCTCGCCTTGCCGCGGACGTTTTTCACGGTCGCTGTATCGCGTGTGATCGTCCTTGCGCATGTCCGTCTTGGCATGCCCATCTCTTTCCTCACGATTTGGCTTCTTCCGCCCTGCACCGTAGGTTGAGTAAAAGCGCTGTTGTTCCTTCGCATGAAGCATGATGAGCTTGCTGACTGCAGCCCAGTCGAAATCGGTTGCATGCCACGTGCGATCCATTTCCAGCACACATGCGTCACGGACAGCTTCTGGGTCCACGTGATCGAGCAGTCTCTTGAATATCTTCTTTCGCATGTCTGGACGCTCCAAGTGCGCCTTCATGACGCGAGCATCCATACGTTCGTCACACCTGGCGAGGAACTTGACCACGCGGCTCATTACGTCATCGTCCTTCATGTCCATGTGAATCCCGTAGAACAGGTTTGTAATGTCTGCTTCGACACCGTTCTTGGGCATTCCAACGATCTTGCGTAGCTCTGCTTCGAGCACTTTGTCTTCGAGGTCCTTTGGTTCTCCTTCCAACTCACGCATGACCATGACTTGCTTGAGCATACGTTTGTCTTCGAAGCACTCCTTCCAGGTCTGCATGTAGGTCTTGGTGTCAAGGCCTCGGCGTTTGCAGGTGGCTTGTAGGTTCTCCTCGTATGTTTCACGATCCATCAACCATTCGCGGACGTCATCTTGACGCACGCTGCGCAGCTTGGGGCACATGGGAATAGGATGTGATCCACCGTCTTGACGGTCTTGGGGCCATCGCGGTGGTTCATACTCGTCATCGTAGCCTCTATGGGCTCGATGCTTCTGTCCTCTCTGGGACATCTTGTCTTGATCGTTCTTCTGGCGAGGTAGTCGTACGTTTGCTTCAACGCGTTACTAAAGAATTCTTTGTGGCGTCTCCCGGGCGCTCAGGTACACCGAACAATGAACACAGTGATGGGGGAGCAGTGGACTCCCGGGCAAAGCTTGTGGTGTATATTGAGCACTCGGAGGCAAATGCAAAACTGACTGGGGTAGCCAGTTGGCTAATCCAGTCTATACTAATACTCAATATAAATCCCCTTCGGCAAACGTCCAATCAGATCCTTGGGTTAGTCAGTTCCCATCGGATCTTCATACAGAACATGGCCTTTCTGCCTAAGACCTCTTCATGTTCTCACCGACACACAAAGCCGCCCGGAGCCGCCCACCGCAGTCGGGCCCGGCCGCCAAGGTGGCACCGACCGGGCGTAACGAGTGGCAGCTAGGATCACGGGTAATCCATCTTGGCGAACGCAACAGTCGTCCGCAAAGAACAGAGCCGTTGCTCTTTGGGTCTCCGAAAACGGTGTGCCCAGTTCCTCGTGCTCCTGCAGGAGGATGCTCAGAGGCTCCACGGACAGCACAAAGAGTAGAGACGACAGGGGGTCGCCTTGTTTCACACCAGGGCGTGAGGCGAAAATGGCGTCGCCGAGCATTCCATTAATGAAAAGGTGTGCAATAGGTTGGTGATACTATAGCCGAAGCCATTGGAGGAATCTGGGGCCAAAGTTGAAAGCCTCGAGAGTGTCAAACATGTAGTCCCAGTTCACATGGTCGTACGCCTTCTCAGAATCGAGAAATATGGCATAGTCCTCCTCGTCGTCTAGTGTGTGTTTGTCCTGGAGGTCACGCAAGAAGATGACATGGTCGTGGATGCGGTGACTTTTTGCAAAGCCTTTCTCAATGGGGTGGATGAGCTAGGGTAACAACCTACGGTCACGACTTGTCAGAGCCCGCGTAAGACCTTCCTCCTCGACAAGTATCAATGAAATTGGCGATAGTTGCCTGTGAGGCGATGGTCACCACCTTTGAACAGCAAGGGCACTGCCGAACAGCGCGGCAATTCAAGGAGCTCACCACGTTCCAACTGGCATTCAAATATCCGACGTAGAATGTCCTCAAAGATGGCGGGGTCGATTTGGTAGAACATTGCTGAGAAACCATCGAAGCTTCGTGTTTTGCCTGGATGCATGGTTTTGATTACACCGGCAAGCTCCCCGTCCGAGAGCGGCCGGTCCAACTCATCATGCTCCTCCTCCGTGAGCCGTTTGATGATGAGATGCAGAAAGAGGCGCCGAGCACGTCGCGTCGGGGGACGAAAGTCTCGTTCACACATGATCTCACTCCACAGACCGTGGGGGCTGTGTGGACGAGAGTCGAGTCGATCGTGTCGCCACCGCCGTGTAGCTGCACCTCGCCAATGGGCACGTTATGTAGTCGCCTTATGGGAGGACGAAAAAGTGCACATTCAAGCACTTCGTTTTGGGAGACGTGAAAGTCGAACTGGAGTCGTTTTGATGCTGTCGCCACTCAGCTATAACCGATTCGTATGCCACTTTAGAGCAATGCAGCTCGTCGTCTGTCATCCGACCCGACTTGTGAGCCCGTTGTGCAAACGACCACCCCCCTCTCCGCTATGTTTGTTTGGGTCCTTTGGGCAAAACTTGTGTGGCAGGCTGTGAGGAATTGCCAAGTGCGTTTTTTCACGCAGCCCGCACAACACCAACGTTAGCATCCATAGTGAGTTGTGTGAGGAGAACCTGTGCGTCAGCACGAATCATATTCGTCACCTCTGTGATGTGATCGCCATGACATTCTATGGCATCTTGAATGTGTGGTTCCGAAATATTGAATTATCCTATATTTATTTCCACCACTGTATGATACAAAATGATAAATAGTTTTAAAGAATGGCAAAAAATTTAGCAAAAGCTAGAAAAAAATGAATACTTCATAGTATATACATCAATAAAACATGTATACAAAAAATAGAAGACAGTTGTAATACTGTAATTTAATGTGTATTTAAAGGAAGAAGTCCTTTGGGAAGCAGCCAACATCTGCACGACTTTGGTCCCCCGGCCACCAGTAACAATGTCAGCACGTGGCACAGGTGGTCGGTGGGGACAGGATACTGAAAGTAGGTGGCCGATCGATACGCCACTTGGATAAGTTGGGCATCGGTGAAGATGTAATCAAGTCGATTGCAACACTTAAGGTGAGGAAAAAGTACGAGAGGACTCCACCAACCTAGCGCTAATGTTACAGACAACGAGGGAATTTAAGGGACACTTTGAGCTTCGAATGTCGGCAATTTCGCGTTGTGATTGGCTTAAGTACTTCGAAGTTCGGAAATATTCTAGCCAACCAAACTCATTTCCCC